CCTGAAGTTTCTACCTCCAACAACATGTTTATATTCCCTTTTTATATTATGTGTTCTCTAATATTAGGTTAATAATTCTTTAATTTTTCTCAATTAAAGGAATTGGTGTGGTTCTTATATTTGACTGGACTACAACTGAACCTTGGTTTTCTTTCCTGTGTTAGAATGTGACTTATATATATATGAATTCAACAGTCCCTGAATATAATGCACACCCAGTACATATTAAACCTAAGTGGATAAAATCTAAAATTGATAAATGTGTCCTTCTTCTCTGATAGCAGGATTGAAGGAAAGACTATTGTTGCATTGGGGTAGGGCATCTGTTGTTACAGAGTAATGCTGACCATTTCCTGGATGGGCTACATGCTAAGGAGGGCAGGCATGGTGCCATCTTAGATCCTGTCCAAAAGAGTGTATGGTTCCACAAGGGCAATCTGGGTTGTGGCTGGAGTTATACGCCACCATACAAAGTAAAGATACATTACATTCAATTAAGAGGAGAAGAAGTAAAAGATAAAGAGATGCTTCTATGAATAATATATGAAAGCACCAAATGTAAAAAAGAGTCAGCTTTAGACATTTAATAGGCCCAGTTAACATGGTAGCAGTTAATGGCAGCACCAGTGGATTTTGAATTTTCCATTTTCCCACCTCTCTCTTCCCTGAAGGAGAAGCCAGAAACCACAGTTAACAAGTGAAAGATGGGGGAAGAGAAAAGGATGGAATGCTGACTGCTAGAAAGTTTGACTATTACATGATGCTAAACATTCCAATTATTCACTAGTGGATATTTTATTACATAAATGTGAACAGAAAATGTGGGGAATCGAGTTTTAATCCAGGATTAGAAAAAGAATTAGTTCCATCCAATACATTTAAAGGTACAAGAATAATAAAAATATTTATTTTCTGATTGCACTTCAGTGGATGGGCATAGCCAAAATATTAATACTACATAAGCCTGGTATCTCTCAGAAGGCAATGAGCTCTTCTCTTACAGTCCCTGCCCATCCACCACCAGATAGTCTCTTGAGTTGAGTAGAGAATTGATCTGTCATATTTTTCAGCTAAAAGTGCACATGCTTTATTCCCAGTAGTCATTAAGGACCTCAGGAGACTAAAATCTCCCTGAATAATTTTCAGACACAATATCAGTGTCACTGCCCCGTTCCTCACCCCGAGGCTTAGAGTGAGATATAAAGGTGGCAGGCATGAATTCACCTCAGCAGACAGAGAGAAGGATTTGTTGTTCTGTGGGTGGCTATCATCTGTCTGTCTTCTGGTGAGTTCTGAAACGATGTAGGGATAAGGCCATTGATTTTCCTGAAGCCTGCACCAAGAAAAGGTTGAATTGGGCAAGGGGTAGGACAAGATGAAGTGGGAGAGCCTTGGAGGAAGGAATCTGATAGCAGCATCTTAGTAGAGTGGGCAGAGCAGCAGGAAAGATCCCCAGACTTGGGGTTCTTGTTCTGGCACAGCCACGAACTGTGTAACCCTGGGCAATTCACTGTACTTCTCTAGGTTGCTCACTTGCCATAATCAACTTCCCGGGGACTTGAAGCTTCAACGGCCAGTGTGTCTATGATTCATTAACATTGCTACAAATTCAGAGAGGGAAACAGGACTCAGGACACAGGAACGGTTTAGAAATCTGGGAGCAAAGTGGTCATAACCAAACCTATGACAAACTAACAGCTGAAGCACACACGGTCTAACTTTGCTCTTGCTTTATGAATTCTGAGATAACGAAATATGTAAAAGTTCCCAAGAGATTAAAAGAACAGGAGAAATAACATAGCCATAACCTTTATATGAACCATGAATAGCTAATTATTTCCAGGCTTTTGCTATCCATGATATAGATTGAAAGCTACGGTCTTTAGAAAGCCTCTCTATACATCCCTCCAGCCCCTCTCTACCTTCTTTCTGCCTCGCATCAGCGCCCTAGCACTCTCACAGGCATCCTTTGCTCAACCAGAAACTAAAAAGGAAAAGGAAGTAGAAGAACAGCAGAATCATAAAGGATCTCAGAGAATGTCTTAAAAAAACAGCCGTAAAGAAGACACGGGTCTAAAAAGAGAAATGGATTTTTACAAACTCACATAGCCAGTACCTGCCAGAGTCAGGGTCTATCCCAGGACTCCTGACACTCAGCCCAGGATCCTTTCCCCATAAGCATCCCGATTCTTATACAGCTTCAGTAATATAAAAGTTCTGGGTCCCAGGAGCAGGAGAAATTGAGTCTGGTCTTGGAGAGAGGTGTTTTTGCATCAATTCCTTCATATGTTTCTGTCTTTAGCCACTCACTCCCCTTGTTTAAGGGTACCTCAAGAATCTTAATTCAGAAATGCATACTTTTCTTTTCAACTTCCTCTCCAATGTCTTAATGATTCCTCAAAGACCTTGGTAAGACAGTAGAGAGTCTCATAAGTCTTTTTTTTCTTTTGCAGTCTTATCACCTTCTCACTGTGAACTATGAGGCAAGTTAATCTCATTGGGCCTGAGTGTCCACGTCTATTAAAGATTAAATTAGTAAACGGATGTAAAGTTCTCTGCAGAGTACTTAGCACATTGCATATGTTCAATAAGTATTCATTTTTGTCTCTCTATATGACTTTATTCCTATCCATCCTGACAACCCACCATGTGAGTGGTCCCAGGGTATGGGAACAGGTATGATCCTAGTACTATCAGATATCCTTCTTTCCACAAATACTAACACTTAAGTCCCCAGAGCCCAAATTACTTTGGCCCTGCCCTGAATAGAATCCTGCTTTCTGCCTGATTTCTTTTCCCTTCTCTTTCTGTTATCTTTATGTTAGCTCAGTTCTCTTCTATGGTTTCCAATTACTTTCTATGATGCTCTGTATGAAAATTGGTGTTATAGTCAGATGGGAGAAACAGGAGACAAACAAGGTTGGTCAGTCCTGGATCCCAAGGAATCACAATTCTAGAGGGAACACAGGCATGCATAGGCTGAGCTCTGAGACCAGAAAGGATGTAATCAGTGTAAACACAGAGGGTTAGACTTGCTGGGAACCATAGTGTATCTGAGTTCTGTACTACTGGGGAAAATTCAAAAATGCCTCCTAGAATGACAATGCTGCATTGTGCACCATTCCAGCATCTCCACCACTTTCAGATAGCTAGGGCTCCCTTTCCTCTTCCATTCCCATCAGAAAGAACTCTGAGAGCATTGTCTGACCTTGCTTTGTTAGAGGTTGGAGAAGAAGGAGAAAGAGAAAACAGTGGTATGCATTTCTAGAGCCCTTCTTTTAAAGGAGGGTACCCTATAAGCCTAAAACATGTCTGCTAGGTGAAAAGCATTCCAGCCTTCTCTATCCTTATTTACCATGGAGCAATGAACATGAAAACCTTTCACAAACATCTGAATGATAGGAGAATAAACACTTTAATCACTCTCACAGAGAAACGGCTGTAGGAAATAATACATGAGTGCCAGTATAAGAAAAATTGTGAGTAAATACAATACATGAGGGTTTAGAAAAGCACCTATGTGGATGAGTGGATTAATAACAGTGAGAAGTCTGCAAGATAGAAGTGTTGTGCAAATATACAAATCAGTGTGTATACCTGAGTGTATGCACATAGAAATGCTGCATATGTCAGTGCGGGCTGAATATCAGCATGGCAAGACATGGGCATGTTAAGGAGTGTAAAGATCAAGAGGGAGTGTGTGGATGTGTTGTACAATAAGAGTAAAAATATGAGAGATGGAGAGAATATGTGAGAGAGTGTGCTGTTGGCATATAGTAAGATCCAACATAAAGCTGCTGTGAATATGTGGATACGTCTATGTGAGTAATGGGTATTCTGAGAGTACATGTGACTGTGTAGGGGTGTGAAAGTCTGTATTTGGAACAATTTCCTCCCACAGACTGAGGGTTAGTGTACCTGTGCTATGCATAATAGAATAAATATTCCCTTTATGCTTGTGTAGAATATTTAGGGAAGAATACTCAATTTTTCTAAAAACAGAAACAGCTTTGTGCCTTTGCACAAATATATGTATTTTTTGTTTGTTTTTGTTGGGGGTTTTTTGTGGCAACTCTGCCACTGAAAAGCTGATATCCAGAGGCAACTATTTCCACATTCCCCTGTCCCTTCCCCTCTCCATCCAAGCACATATCATAATTCAAAACAGCTCTGGGGAATTCTCTCATTAATAACGACACATCTGTGGTGCTTGTTTTTCCATTCTTGGGATACTTCATTTAGTAGAATGCGTTCCAGCTCTATCCAGGAGTATACAAGAGGTGCTATATCACCATTGTTTCTTAAAGCTGAATAGTATCCCAAGAATGGAAAAACAAGCACCACATGTACTCACCATCAAATTGGTATTAACTGATCAACACATAAGTGCACAGATAAGAATAACATCTATTGGATATCGGGCGGGGGGGGGAGGAGGGAACGGGTATATGCATACACAAAGGGTGCAATGTGCACCATCCGAGGGATGGACACACTTGAAACTCAGACTTGGGGGGAGAGGGGGAAAGGACAGCATACATAATCTAAACATCTGTACCCCCATAATATGCTGAAAAAAATTAAATTAAATTAAAAAATAGAAAAAAAATGACACATCTGAATTAAACAACATTTTCAGGAAGATATTAATTACTTTCCAGAGCTGTTGATGACTGAAATTCCTGATTTTCTTCTATCATAACTATCCATTAATTATTGTTAACATATTTCTATTGAGTGATACTTATAAACTACATCAAAGTTGTAAATAACATAGTTCAAACACTTTCCTTCTAACTAATTGACATTATCAAAGTATTTGTCAGTGTCTTCCTTCTTGCGTAAAACAGAGGGAAAGCTCAGCTTGTAGCCTGATGATCATAAAACATGAAAGAAAAAAGTTTGCTTTAACCATCCGCAAACAAGTGATTTCATGAGTACATCAGTTTCCAACTGCATAGACATCATTGCTGTGACCCTTACTTCTTGTTTTCTTGTCCTCCAGTAAGTGCAACTCTTAGAATTCTTCAAATCAGAGGATCTGGCCCTGAAAAGTGCCCAAAGTTCCTCCTGCCATGGGATTGTTCAATGTCACTCACCCTGCTTTCTTCCTCCTGACCAGTATCCCTGGTCTGGAGAGCTCTCACTCCTGGCTGGCAGGGCCCCTCTGTGTGATGTATGCTGTGGCTCTTGGTGGAAACACAGTGATCCTGCAGGCTGTGTGGGTGGAGCCCAGACTCCATGAGCCCATGTACTACTTCCTGTCCATGTTGTCCTTCAGTGATGTGGCCATGTCCATGGCTACACTGCCCACTGTACTCAGAACCTTCTGCCTTGATGCCCGAAATATTGCTTTTGATGCCTGCCTAATCCAGATGTTTCTAATTCATTCCTTCTCCATGATGGAGTCAGGTATTCTGCTAGCCATGAGTTTTGACCGCTATGTGGCCATTTGTGATCCCTTGCGCTATGCCACTGTGCTCACCAATGAAGTCATTGCTGGGATAAGTTTAGCTGTGACTGCCCGGAGCTTCATCACCCTCTTCCCTCTTCCCTTCCTTATCAAGAGGCTGCCTATCTGCAAGTCCAATGTTCTTTCTCACTCCTACTGCCTACACCCAGACATGATGAAGCTTGCTTGCTCAGAAATTACTATCAACAGCATCTATGGACTCTTTGTTCTTGTATCCACCTTTGGCATGGACCTGTTTTTTATCTTTCTCTCCTATGTGCTGATTCTGCGTGCCGTCATGACCATTACTTCCCATGAGGGACGCCTCAAAGCTCTCAACACATGTGTGTCACATATCCTGGCTGTACTTGCATTTTACATGCCAATGATTGGGGTCTCCACGGTGCACCGTTTTGGGAAGCATGCCCCACACTATATACATGTCCTCATGTCAAATGTCTACCTCTTTGTGCCTCCTGTGCTCAACCCTTTCATTTATAGTGCCAAGACAAAGGAGATCCGCCAAGCCATTGTCCGCATGCTTCACCGCCTCAAAATATGACTTTCACATTTGATTTTACAATCTGTTTATTGTCGCCATAGGCTCTAATCAGTAGCAGCAGCAGCAGCAGCAGCAGCAGCAGCAGCAGCAGCATTGTCCTCATCACAAAGTATAAGAAAGATGTATGTACTGGAGGAAAGTAAAAGGGCAGGAAGTGAAGATGCAAAACTTATAACACAAAACGAGGAGTTCCAAATGCATAGTGCACTCAGTAAACACCAATGGCATTGATAGATAAAAATTGGAGACAATTGAATGATTAGACAAGTTTTACAGAGGAAGATTAATCTGATCTAAGACTTATTTTCTATAACAATGAATTTTACTAATATAATAATTGATGCACTGAGTCAAGTTCTATTCTAAATTATTCATGTGCATTAATTTGTTTAATATTCATGACAATCCTCTGAGGCACAGAGAATAAGTTAATTATACAGGTTAACATAAATAATATGTGCCTCCCCTGTGTGTACCCAGCCACAGCAAATACAGCTTCTTTGTCTGGCATCATTTAGCATCATCATTACTATCTTTGCTTTCCCCACCACTGTCATTCCCAGACACTCACGCATTGCTTCAACTTCACAAAGTGAAATCCAGTGCACTGTCAGAACTTACCACAAAATGTATGAACAAATGTGACCCATGAAAACTGATAGATGTTGACATTTGAAGAATCTCCAGATTCCTCTCTACTTCTTTAATCTGGCCACCAAGCAATCCTCCCCCAGGGAAAATAATGATCAATATCTTAAATATCTGAGGTAGAGACTTTTTGGAGGGAGGGATCATTAAGCTAGGGGCATGAATTCTCCTCATCTTTCCTTTTTGGGATTTTAACTTTCTTCTACACAATGACATGTTAAGAGGTGTCAGAAATTATGTCCTTCTAGGATTAGGATTTTCAGCTCCAAAAAAGAATAGGCAGAATAGGACACTTATGATTTAGATACTAGAAAATAATTATTTCAAATCTACTCTTAGACTGATTTTCCTTACATACTCTTCCCATAATACCAGGGAGGTAGGATAGAATAAGAAGTTGTTTGGTGTAATTTTAGTGATCTCAGATTAAGTTCAGGCTTACTTCTAGACAAACAAACTAGCAAAGGAGATGCCCTATAGAGCCTAACCTAAGTCTCCAGGGTAACTGGCCTGGAGACCACATGGCAACAAAGCACATAGTTAGCTAGAGTTTTTCTCTTTGTACAAAGCTCCGTTGAGGAACTATCAAGAGAAATGACCAGGGCAGAAAGAGGAAGTTATTTCCAAACAGAGATAATGTAAATATTTGGGATCCAGATTTTCAAAAATGTCTAAACCTGCAACGAGAGACTCAACATATGTGCCCTGGCCCACTAAATAGATTATTTTCAGGGGAACAATTTAATATCATAACTCAGTATGATTTCAAATAGAAAATAATTAGGATATTTAATAATCTAGAGTACAATATGGTCTTCAGTCAATTTAAATAACTTCTGATTCATGTAAGAAACTCCAATTTCAACATCAAATAATAATAATAATTTTAATACCTTGATATTTTACTTTCAAACTAATACATAGATGCAAAGGCAAAGCTTAGGTAAGTTACTAAATGAAAGTAAACACTCACTGATTTCCACCTCAGAGAGAGCGAGGGAGACACCCTTTTGACATAGGCCTGACTTTGAAACCCAGTGGTATAACAGGAGAAAGGACAAGGAACAATGCAATATCAGCCTTCCAAAAGAGCCTATAGCTCCTTTCCGCTTTATTTCCCTCTTCTTTTCTCCATCCTCAGTTTAAAGAGCTACTGATTTTCAGGGGCTAAGGAAAAAGAATTTTGAGATTTCTTTGTTGATCTATTTATTGGTGCTTATACATTTGAGCACAGGCAACTGGATGCCCTCCAGACAGCTGAACAGAACATTTGCTCCTAAATGCTTTCAGATTTACTAGGAACAACACACGGGTTATGAAGTCAGCAGTTACTTTGTGAATTTATCTGTCTAACTCAAGCAGCAAATCAAGAATCTTTTCCAAAGAATGAATTGCCCTCTGCAGGGGAAGAGGACAAGTATTGAGCAAGCAGTAATTTGATGTGAATGTCCAAAACCAAGATTTGGTCTCATGGTTTTGTCATGCTAGGGATAGGTTGGTGTGGTTTATGATTATATTTACAACATAAAGGTTTTTTTTTTGTTTCCATTATACCTGGAAGACTTGTTCATCAACTATATGTAAGAAAATAAGCAGAGGAAATAAATTATCCATTGTGTAATCATTTTTTTTTTTTTGAGACAGAGTCTCACTGTGTTGCCTGGGCTAGAGTGCCGTGGCGTCAGCCTAGCTCACAGCAACCTCAAACTCCTGGGCTCAAGCAATCCTACTGCCTCAGCCTCCCAAGTAGCTGGGACTACAGGCATGCACCACTATGCCCAGCTAATTTTTTCTATATATATTTTTAGTTGTCCGATTAATTTCTTTGTATTTTTTAGTAGAGACGGGATCTCGCTCTTGCTCAGGCTGGTTTCGAACTCCTGAGCTCAAACAATCCACCTGCCTCGGCCTCCCAGAGTGCTAGGATTACAGGCGTGAGCCACCATGCCCGGCCTGTGTAATCATTTAATTTAATTAGTTGGTTTGATTTGTACATGTATAATTCAGGTGTCAGCTGATGACACCTAAACATTTGATATTTCACTGAAATTTGCCTAAGCCTCCAACACTCTTCAAATGTCAGGTATAATCCTCAGCCAAAACTTCCCATAAATTTCTGGAAGTGTTTATCACTCACCAAAAGCACTGAAATGTGGCTGGCTTTATTAAACAGATTTAGATGACAAATTGATTTCAGCTAATAGAAACGCAAAATGCAGAGCTGGGTATCAAACAATCTTGATCTTTCCTCATCTATTGCCAGCTATGTTATTCAGGAAATCTTCTCTAAAGTGTTTCTCAGATTTCATTCCTTCTAGCAGACATTATTAGTCACTGTCCTTTACTCAAGTCCAGGTCTAAAACAATGTGGAGACAATTTGGACAAGTAGATATTATATAATTCTGGTGTTACAGTATTTTTTCCTCCCAGTTTTGTTCTTTGTTTGTTTGCTTGCTTGCTTGTTTTGTTTTATTTGCTTATAAAGAAACATTACAGCTCCTTCATTTATTTATTCACTTAGCAATATTTATTGAAGCTTGCGATATGCGGAGCGCACTAGATTTGAGGACTCAGTGGTTGTGGGATTTAGTCATTGGGGTCTGCGAGAGAAACCTACCTGAAGATATGGGAGGGCTATGTCAACACCTCCTGGGATTTCTTTACTAATTACATACTCCTTTAATTTACAAAGCTTCACCATGCTTTGAGTGGCTGTAGTGTGAGGGAAGGGTGTTAGTGGTGGACATATAATGAATGTTCATGTGAACTTTGAGAAGACAAAGGCTGAGAACCACAGGGCTATGTATTTAAGGCAAATATCCCACAGTTACGAGCTGGGAGAAATAAGCTTCCTGGGTGACAATTTACATTTTTACAATGAAAAAAGGACAATAAACAATCATGGCTTAGAGTCGTCTTTTTTATTAGTTTTAATAGCCAAGCCCAGTATCTCTGACTGAGACAAACCCTCTGTACATGTTGAACAGGTTAAAACTTGATCCAGTGCCAAGTGGCCTTTTCTATATTTGGCATAATATTGTGAAAAGAAAGTCTATTGTATGATTTTCACATAAAATCTAAGAATCAGAAAGTTAATAAACAAATTTTTGATGAAATGTGAAAGTGGCAAATAAAGTAAATCTGAAACACAAAGAAATTTCTGCTGAGCACACAGATTCAAAACCTGGTATAACTGCGTTATAAGCATTGGATTGGAAGTCTTCCCCACATCAATCATTCAACAAGTATGGAGATTGAGGATTACTTTCAACAGGGAAGCATGATTCAACATTTAGAATTCAAATATTTATAATAACATTTTTACAAATAATGTAGAAATAAAAATTTATGATTATAAAAGGAAAAAGAGTTATAAGACACTATGTATAAATTGGACAATTTGGCTCTATTTTTAAACAGATCTAGATACTTTTCAAAATAATTTCTTAATGAACCCTCTCAGCCTTCAATCCATACAAAAATATTATAAATAGGTTTATAATTTATATTGACTTAAATGACAATATACTACGTAAAATGCTTATTTTACCAGTTTGAACAAATACAAATTTTTCCACAAGTCTGATAATTACAGAATTAGTTAATATTTATTAGGCAGTAGTAAAACAATATATATATATACGCACATACAGTGATATGTGCATATATTTATAAATTACAGAAAATATTTTCCATAGTACATATGCACATGCCATCTTATGTGACTTCTCAATTTTGTGGTTGAGATTGAGGGATGCATTTTCTTAAAAGCCTAGAAAATATTGAAGTCAACAATTTTGTTTCTAATATTCAGATATAGATACTGACATGTTAGGATATAAAAAGACTTTTTTTAAAAGAAGAAGGAAGATTCCTATTGTCAGCATGACTCTAAGAGCCATGGACTAATCTTTGTTTTTGATGGTTTTCTTTCATTTTTGTTCATAACTGTGTATAGCGTTAGCTCATATCCTTTTTGTCTGCATAAATTTAAAAAGTATGGTTTTCCAGGATGGCTGGGAGGAGGATCCCCTCTGGAAGGAGAGAGGCTTTTCTAGCAGAGTAGCTTTTCTATCTTCATGACTCTAGGGCTCTCTCTGTTGTTGTGCAAATGACTCAAATAACATCTATCTCAGGCTGCTTCTGTGTGTCAAAGCGGAGTTCTGGAGGATGTTCTGCTCCATTCCTCTGTTCCAGCCCTCGAACTCTACAGGCTTGCTTCCAAGTGGTACACTCAGCTTGAGTAGTTGTTTTTAGCTGTTGCAGCACTTTCTTGCATCTGCTTCCTCTAAGCTTTTCCCCTACCATCAGAACTTTCTTTCTTACCCAGGTGATCTTTATTTGCTTAATATAGTTTCCTTTGGGCTGACACTATATCCTCTTGGAAGAGCTTATT